AAGATCCCAAGAGGAGAATGGAGGAGAAGGGATTGCGGCGTGACCATCCCCCCTGGGGGGTGATTTCTCGCTTTCTGTCTCTATGTCTCTCTCTCTGTCTGTCTGGGGAACGCACGCACCTTATAGCGAAAAAAACCTCTCCAAAAATAAATAAATAAATAAATAAGATAACCTAAAAAAACAGTAACATGCTCATTAAATGGTCAAGAAACATAAGTAATAAAATAAAAATGGCACTGTACCTTGATAAATACCTAAAGTTTGTTTATGGGGGTAGGTCCCAAGAAGCTATCTCTGGAAGATGGGAGGGCTTTAGACCTTTTCTTTTTTTTAACTTATTTAGTCCATGAGTAAAAGAGACACCGAGAGAAACAGAAAGGCAGCATTCACCGAAGTGTTGAAGCCATGATCTATTGCTAGTCTCAGTTAACCCCAGGTTATGGGCACATGTGCACCCTGTGCATGCTGGGAGGGCTCTGGACATGAACTCAGAATTTTCCCATGTGAGTCAGCTTCTCCCACCATTGCATTTTATTACTGTGCCAACGTTACTGGGCTCCTATAGGTGCCTCTCCTCTCTTGTAGTTTTGTCTTCCATGAGTCAGAGAGAGACGGAGAAAGAGCACCACTTCTAACAGGGTCTTGACACCGTGATCCACCCCAGCCTCAAGGAGCCTCAGGACATGGACACATGTGTACCTGGCATACTCAAGGTGGTCTCCAGATGTGCAGCTGATCCCTCTTCCATGAGGATCAGTCTTGACAGTACCATGTTGTGGCTTTTTTTTTTTTTTTTTTTGAGAGAGTTTTTTTTTAGGGCATGTGTGCTTGCCAGAGACACAGATAGATAGAAAGTGAGAAATCACTTCCTGGGGGGATGGCCATACTGCAATCCCTTCTCCTTTGTTTTCCTCTAGGGATTTTGGGCAAACATGCACACGCCTAGTGTGTTTCAAGCCACTAGGTCCAAGATTCGAACTGCAGTCGACCACGTGGGTGTCCAGCGCCTTAACCACTACGCCAACCTGCTGGCTCTGAGAGGAGCCTGCTCCATCATCCAACCCTCTAGGCCCTTTTAAGATCTGTTTTAGACATGGACTTTAACAAAATAGCTTTTTGTGATAGGTATGATTAACTGCTTTAAGAATTCTCTCTAATCACAGAACTTTGGGTAAAAATGTTACATACTGTAAATTTTCTTTCCTTTTACAGGATTTAAGAAATATGAATCATAATATCTAAGAGCAATGACAAATACCATTTTATTAGAACTCTGAATCTTTGCTTCAGGCAAATTTCCATTCCATGCAATTTGCATTTGAAATTAATGGGTTTATCTCTAGATTCCACTGAAATGAGTATAGAGCATTGATGTAATTAAATAGGCTTATTTGTACAAAAATACCTTATCTACATCTCATAAGATTTTAGAAGTCTTTAGTTTGCCATTTAACAGGCTAAAAACCACTACAGATATGAATTAATTGTTTAGTTTGCTTAGTTTTGAAATTTAAAGTAATAGAAAAGGCAGCAATTGCAGTTTAATAAAATCTATGGGCAGTTAATATTCATTTATTTCAGTTACTCCAGAAACTTTATAAAGTTATCAAATGACAAGTTTTATTGAAATTTTCTTTCATCATGTTGTGTGTATTTGAACATGGACACAAAGCTGGGAATAACATTTCTTTTTTAAAAAAAAATAATAATTTTATTTTATCTTTATTTCTTTCTTTCATTTTAATTTGACCAGAGAGGAACAGAGAGAGAGAAAGAAAGCAAGCCGCTGGGTCTAGAACTCGAAACCGCAGTCAGCCATGTGGGACTCCAGCACCCTTAACCACCACGCCACCTGCCAGCCCCAGGAATGGTATTTCCTAAAAATGGAAATGTTAGTCTACTAATAACTCTACAATTCTTTTACTTATTAACTTTACACTTAAAAAAAAAATTACTTTCCACAAAGTCTTGGTTAATGGATATAAGTTTTGAGATTGAATTTTATTGGGGGCCGGCAGGTGGTGTGGTGATTAAGGCACTGGACTCCCACATGGTCGACAGTGGTTCAAGGCCTGGACTCAGTGACTTGCTTTCTTATTTTCCCTTTCTCTCTGTCTCTCTCTGGTCAAATTAAAAAATGATAATAATGGGGACCAGCAGGTGGTGTGGTGGTTAAGGCGCTAGACACTCCCACATAGGCAACCACAGTTCGAGTCCTGGACCTGGTGACTTGCTTTCTCACTTTCCTCTCTCTCTCTGTGTGTCTCTCTATGGTAAAATTAAACGAAAGGAATGAATGAATGAATTAATTAATTAATTAAAAATTATAATAATGATGAAAAATAAAATTAAATAATGCTTTTAAAAATAATTTAGTTGGTGGGGTCAGGAGGTGGTATGGTAATTAAGGTCCTGAACTCCCACATGGTCTACCATAGTTCAAGTCCCAAACCTGGCAGCTCACTTTCTCACTCTCTCTTTGGTAACTGCACGTGCCTTAAGGCAAAATTTAAAAAAACAAGAAAGAAATTAAATACTTTTTAAAAATTGTATTTGGGGGTTGGATAGTGACTCATTGGTAAAAACATGAGGCTCTGTGTGCCTGACTCTCATGGGAGAGTTCTGGTTGTGTCGAGACCTCTCTGAATACTCTGGGCATATTTGTGTTTCTCTGATCTGGGCTGGCTGAAGCCGGCAATAGATCATGGCATCAAGACCTTTTTGGGGGTGCTGTTTCTCTTTCTTCTTTCACTCATTCTTGGAATAAATAAATAAATTTAAAGAAATGTATTTGGGAGCTAGCAGGTAGCATAGTGGTTAAGGTGCTGGATTCCCACATGACTGACCATAGTTTAAGTCCTGGACCCGGTGGCTTGAAACTCAGGCCGAGTGCATGTGCATGCATGTCCAAAATCCTGAGAAGAGAATGGAAGAGAAGGGATCACAGCATGGCCATCCCCCCTCAGGGGGTGATTTCTCACTCTCTTTCTGTCCCTATGGCAAGCACATGTACCCTATAACAAAAATCTCTCTTAAGAAAAAAAAAAAAAAGAGGGGCCAGCTGATGGCTTAGTGGTTATATTGCTGGACTCCCACATGGTCAGTCCCAGACCTGGGAATCCCAGACCCAGTGGCTTGAAAATCTCACCAGGCACGTATGCACACATGCCCAAGATCCCAGGAGGAGAATGGAGAAGGATTGCAGGCATATCCATCCTCCCCTGAGGAGTGATTTCTTACTTTCCCTCTCACTGTCTCTTTTTCTCTCCAGCAAGCATACACCCTATGACAAAAAGGAGTGATTTCTTACTTTCCCTCTCACTGTCTCTTTTTCTCTCCAGCAAGCACACATGGTGTAAGGCCAAAAAAGAGAAAAATGTATTTGAAGATTACTAAAAATAAGCATAAATTAATTTCTACATCAACATATAGAACCACACCTATGTCAGTCAATGTGCTGGGTGGCCCTGCAGCTAAAACTATGCTGAGATGAGGTTCCCTCCCTTCACATACTAGAGAGGAAAGTTCATACAAACTGGTATTACACAGAGTATATTATAGAAAAAAAATTCATAGAGTGAAAGGGTTGTCTTAGAGCTATGTGTAAGATGCTGCAGGAAGAAGGGTCAGAGGAAGTGTTGGTTTCTCAGAAGTGCTGGTTTCTTTTTTTTT